TGTAAGTGCTAACAGTTTAAATGCACCAAGGTTTGGTGTTGGTGAGTTGATTGCAATTTCATATTTTCAACTTGACAATATTCGTATGGAGATTGTGAAATGTAGCCCTTACTGCCTCCTCTGCCATTTAACCGTGTCCCCTTACTACACCATTCTAAGAGGTTAGCACCGTGTTTAGCATCAAGAGCACACTTCAGCTTGGCAAATTTTAGTATTATTCGCCAAACAGATTTGCACTAAACGATCAGTGCACTCCATTTTGGCATTCTTTGTTATCCACCACAGCCCTGTCTCAGCCACTCCAAACTACTCCATGCGGTCAAGCGTTGTCTCTTTACTCGGATTATTTGTATCTCTTCCATTTGCCACTAGTTTTGACCGTCTCTGTCACCGGAGGCGTAAAAGTATCTACATGTTAGAGTAATCGCTGTCTACTGAGGATACCCTTCCCGGGTAACCTTTATAATTATATCCCTTAAAGGTCAAACAAGAGGCTAAGCCCATTTAGCAGCCCTACACTCATGCCCATCATCGCGATGCTTTTCTCCGCGGACCTCTGACCAAGTATCTATCTTCCCCTTCCTTCAGCTAAGAACTTCCAGATAACGGAGAAAATTTTTCTTTGATGCTTTGCTATTCGGTTTTACCCAACTGAGCGGTTCAGCTCCACTATTTCCATTGTTTCCCTGATTTTTCTTTTATCCATTCTTGTGGTCCATGCCACCAGCTGCTCTCTTGTCATTTGATCCACTCTTCGGCTTGTCTGGGAATTGCATTCCCCTCCTCCCTTTAGAATTTTCTCTATAACTATTTCAACAAAGGCCCATGTATCTGATCCTTGCTTGATCTTTCCGTTTACCTCTCATACGTGCTTCTTTTTGCAATTGCTGTATTTGGTATAGTACGTTCCACACAATTTGGCTGCTTATCTTCGGTTATTTTGTTGCGTAGGCAGGACCATAATCACTCACTTATGTAGCCTTTCTTCTTTTCCAGTAGGATATGAATTTTTGCGAGCACATGGAGCTAATAATCTTAGTTCTGAAATATGCAAGAGGCCTGCTTCGGCAATTTTCTGGCCTCCTTCCCTTTAACCTCCATTTTGTCTATACTACTATCTATCTCGCGCAATCAGTGTGTTTTTTTGTGTCAAATCCTGATAAATATTCATTTTAGCTTCCCCGAAACATTTCTTGTAGACGTCCTTGTCGATCAGGTCACACCATCTCCCAGCAATCAAGTTCAGACTCCTACTTCTTATGGCTACTCTGGCCAATTTATGGCTTGAGAGTTACTTCAACTACTGTCGGAATAAAAAATTGCGAAATCAGAAAAATATTTTATCATATAGTTTTGAGATGTATTCACCCTATTTCGTTGAAGGTGATGAAGGACTGGCAGTAGAATTTTCCCACAATGATATGGGTAGGGCTGACGCCTCCATTCAATTTCACATCGCCTTGCTTTCCCAAAAGTTGTTCTCATCCAGGCTGGAGTGGACTGCAGTTTCGACCCCGCATCGGTCTTATCAATACTCCCAGCGGGAGTCGAACCGTGACAGTGCAGCATGTGAGTTGACACGTTAACCACTCAGCCACATTGCCACAAGCGCCCTTGGGTCACAGGGCAGATGTTAATTTCAAGCAAGGCCAGGCCTTTTCCAATATCACATTCTTTCGTGGGATTGTCGATGAGGCAAACGTATTTTTACTATAAAAATCGACTACATTACTTATTTTTCGTATATAAGCAGAGTTTCGAGACTACCAATAAATCAGTTATATGAGATGTATGTGAAATTCAATGGAAACTGTCAGCTCTACTCATATTATTGTGGGGAAATCCTACTACTAGTCCATCATCACCTTAAATGAAACTGGGTGAATACATCTCGTTTAAACTATTTTATATCATTCGTCAGGCCTGGATATGCCACTTGTTATTATAGAACACCTTTTAGCTCTGATGGCTCTTTGTTTCAGTAAGATGCTCGCACCTAATCTGTTAGATTTCATATTCTAGATATGCACCGCACATAGCTCACCTTCCGTAGGCTGGGCTGTCTATCACCCTGAATGGGAATGTATGACATGCCCAGCATCAGAACTCGATGTACCCTTCCATCAACATGATATGTTATTCCTTTTGCATGGGGCTCCTTGAAGTCTTGTTGCTTGGCTTCAAGCAGCGTTGGGATTACTTACCTCTACAACCATAATTAGATAAACTCGTCAAAAAGGGCACACCTCTAGGATAGTCTAATATAAACAAATCAGAAGTTATGCTAGCGAGGGAATGAGATACTAGGTTAGGAGGTAGGTAGATGTACAGGAGTAATAGCACAACCGTCCAGCAGAAAGTTGATTCGGTCATTCACTTCACTTGTTTTCAATGCGTTGTAACTTGGTGCTGATACCGGCAAAAGTCACTGACAATCCCGATTACGGTACCGGCGAAATGTCTGGGAATGTATTAAGTCAGTGGTCCGACACTGAGAATTATCATACCTATTCTAGAAGAGGACTTCGAACAGGGTGCGTCCGACTAGGTCATCCTGACAACATGACCATGTTACAAAAACGAGGTCGAACCGCTACCATAGGAGCCTCATGGCTCCTTCGAGGTGCAGAGCAGAATCGGTCTTATAGTAAAGTCTTGCAAGCTGTTTACGGGTTCCGCCTATACAAAATCTAATCCATTAGCACCTTTCCAGAACAGTCTTGCTATACGCCTTGAAAATTTGTTATCTTCCAACTCACCTTCCAGTTTATCAAGCGTGGATATATGTTTTCTACTCACGTGACTAAATCACCTTAACTCCCGTCTTTGCATCAGGTACTGCATACAACTGGAATTGTGCTAAGTCACTTCACTATTATCTTATCGGATCCACACAGCGTATAGGCAAAACCAGCAGTCTTCTAGATCAACATTTCTTTGATTGAAACAGACTACTTTTAGACCAAACTATTCTACGCAGCAACTAGCAAATCCTTCTTGCAGAGACATTTACGGCTACGGTCTCTGTCTAAATAGCGAAAATGCTTGAAATTAATTAGCTACATTTATTCAGGGACGAGTTAGCTAAGGCTCTAAGTCTATCCCACATTTATATTTATGGCTTAGAGCCTATATTGATTTGAGTTTTGACCATAATTTTGAGGTTATTTTTATCCTTGCTTTTAGTGAGTATGAACTTACCATAAGTTAAGTAATTAGTTAGCATTTTCTCACTTATCCAAGGCTAACTTCTGGACAAAACGCATCTTGCACTCTGAATAAAAATTCTTCACATCGTTAAATTATCGTTAAAAAGTTATAGCGAAATGCCTTATTCTTTCCTGTACCTTGAGGATATTTTAAGCATGCGTTGATACAGAATGATTTATAAAGTTTCCGCTTTGCGTTGCCGTTTTTTCTTAATTCCATTTCCATTAACTTTGGATACACCCTAAGTATCCTCCTATTTCTCGCATAACGCGTATGTTCCTCTTCCCCACGCCTTTTGCTTCTTAGTATCATAAGATTGCAAATAAACTTGGTTAAATCAACTAAACTGCTGTCCTTGCTTCGCTTCGCTTTGCTTGAATATTAAACGAAAGGAGTATAATTTCCAGATTTACGTTAGTAAGTCGTAGTTGTGATATTAAATTTGCAATTAAATGGAGATTCTTAATTTGTTAGTTGGTTATTTAGTCCTTTTTTAATAGCTGATAATTGATATTCACACAACAGATTGGCGAAACATTTGTTATGTAGCCCTAGAGTGGCTTTTTTAAAGGGTTAAGCCGCAGATTCGACTTCATTTAAATTTACTAATCAACTCTACTGGGAGTGGGACCTTAAATACGTGGTTTCAGACGCAGACACGATGCTCGTCTCGTGCGTCTATGATATGTGAGTTGCACCTAGTATTAAACTAGATTTTATTTAAATTTATATTAAGTATTTGGCGATCTCACTAAAACGGCTTATACACGCACTAGACAATCAATCGCACTGATCCAGCCCGTGATTATTATGGCAGAAATGCAAGTATTCATGTGAAAGAATTCTCCATAGGCTTACATATCATACTTTTAATGCCATTTTTGCTACTATGCTCCTACCTAAAAGTTCAAATGGCATTTTTGTTACTTTTACAGCAGCGTTGCGGTCATGATGCAATGCTATATGTAGCAAACAATGGATCTCGAGTTCCAGCTTCATCAACGCCTAATTTGACTGCAAGCCAAACTCCTGGAGCTAGGACCGATTCTCAGGGCCATAACGTATTGAATGGGACTCGATGGAAGAGTAAGGGCATCAAAGAGTCAGAATCTGAGATGAGGCCTACGGATAAAGGTAAGGCATCGCCCCTCAGAAAATTAGTGGAGAGGGAATTAAATTATTTGAGGCAAATCCTATGTCTTGTCGCATTAGAAATCCATATTGGTTTGCATGATTTTCTGCTGTCTAGATTGCCTTTGAAGATCATGCCCTGATAGCAAGCGGAGCATGAAAAACAGGAAGGAAGGGAGACATACCACACTGGGATGAGTAGACCTCACAATGTAATTGAATTTTACCTAGTCTTGCTTCCAAAATC